TTATTGTTCATCCCAAAGATGCACAAAATCACTTTCACAGACTTTTTCATTAACTGTTCCCTCCTGGTGGAATGACCTGCCCAACTTAGTCGAAGCAGCTGAGTCCTTAACCATCTTCAACAAACGACTAAAAACACATCTGTTCCATCTTTATTTGACCCTCTAACTCTAGCACTCTCTATTCTAATTCCCCCCAAACACATGCACACTCTATTTTATTTCTATTCTACTACTTGTCTTCTTTAAAAGAGAGAGAGAGAGTCTCTGACACTAGCATTCTCTATTCTTTTTCTATTCTATCGTCTTGTTTTCTTTTTATTTATTATATAGAAAGACCATCTAACACTAGTATTCTCTATTCTTTTTCTATTCTTTTGACTTGTTTTATTTTTATTTATTATAAAAAAAACCTTGCTATGTGTACTGCTTTAGGCTAACCGAGACTTGTCACAGCACTTACATATTATTGCATATAATTGTTTTGCTTCTATTGTCCTCATTTTTAAGTCACCTTGGATAAAAGCTTCTGCTAAATGGCTAAATGTAAATATAAATATGTGCAATTTATGTAGAGAAAATAGTTGGCCAATCTATGCTATATATATATGTGCAATTTATTTAGAGAAAATATATATATATTAAACATACAGTTTGAATTTATTATCTTTAATATGTGTATTATTATGGTATTACTGTATTTATATAAAATGTGTTATTTATGTACAGACAGTACTCCAATATAATTGTAATATTGGCAATTTATTTTTATTTTTTAAAAACATACTTTTATAGGCATACTTGTTTTTTTGTTTTTTTTGCTGTTATTAGTTTTATTTAACAGTTTGCATAGTGCCTCAGAACCCCTCTTAACCGTGTTCAATTACTGTAATGTGTGGCGTTTTGCTTCTCATGTTGCTATTGTTGTTCTGGTTTGGTCCTGAATTAAACTTTCTCAGTGTGTCACATGAGTTTCTGCTGCTCGGTGTGACAGCAGGTTTATTATGATGCATCACCAGACACTACCGTCATATTCTGCTGCAATGACAGCTGAACTGACCCGAGTCCTGACATCCCGCTGCTTTAGCACAGCAAGTCCAAAACAGAGCTCTTTTAGGAAAGTGTCACACTTTCCAATTTAGTGTGTGCAACTGCAGCAATTTGATGTCAAGACATGCCAAGAGTTTGTCCTTGGCGTTGAAGATGACAGCGCAGTTGTTAGCTGTAGTTTTGAATGTTTTTAGCCCTACTCAAACAGAAAAACCTGACGTCCATCTCCAGCTGCAACAGAGGAAGATGGTGTTTGTTTTCTCACTCATCATGAGGTGTGACCGTGTAATGAGAGTGTATAGTATTCACAGTCATTAGGATGTGTGGGTCAACTCTTCTCAGCTCCCAGAAGGCCTAGAAATAGACCTTTTCTCAATTAAAGCATGACAAGAGGAAATGATAGCCATCACGGTGGCATTTTTCCCACAGGTTGATAGGAAGTGAAATTCAAGGGTTTGTATTAATATTCATCAAAGATGCAAGAACTAATGGATGAACTGATCATTAAAATAAACGCCATCAAATTTTATAATTAGTTAGTTGGGTCTTTTGGAGTGTGCATTGGGAAAATCTGTCAGTAACTGTAAAGTAAACTGTGAACTAAGTAAAAAAAACTCAATTTTAAGGGGGGAAAAACATTTACTGTTAATGCATTTTTATTTAGCAAACAACACATCAAAAAAGTAAATGTGTGATTTAAATGTCTCTGTCAATGTTAAACTTTGAATATTTTTTTACATTTTTTTTATTCTTTTTTTTTTTTTTTTGTGGTTGCTGTTGAGAATAAAATTTAGGTTTTAAATTAGCTAAACATGCTTGCATATGTAATAAAAGTTTTAAATGAGCAGCAACTGTAATTGGATGTAGTGGCATCATATTATTTATATGTTATTAAGTATACTGTATATAAATGCACACACAACCACAACCACAATTCAAAAGTTTGGGTTGGTAAGATTTTTTAAATGTTTTTGAAAGAAGTGTCTTCTGCTCACCCAGGCTGCACTTATTTGATCAAAAATATAGTAAAAAGTGAAATATTATTACAATTTAAAACAGCTGTTTTCTATGTGAATTTGTGTTAAACTGTAATGTATTTCTGTGATGCACAGCTGTATTTTCAGCATCATTCCTCCAGTCTTCAGCGTCACATGATCTTCAGAAATCAGTATAATATGCTGATCTGCTTGAAAACAGTTGTGCTGCACAATATTTGTGCGGAAACCAGGATACATACAATTTTTCAGGATTCACAGATAAACAGAAAGTTCAAAAGAACAACATTTATTGAAATAGAAATCATTTGTAACATTAGATATGTCTTTACTGTCACTTTTGATCAATATAATGCATCCTTGATAAATAAAAGTATTCATTTCTTTTTAAAAGATCACTCAAATATACTGCTCATAGAAGTAAAGACCTATTTTTGGACTTTCGCATTGAAGCCGAACAGAGCTGTGTAACATGACAGTAGCATCTCTGGAGATTTAATAAAAGTTCAAAGTCGAAAGAGCCACACTCTCTGCTGACATCTCACCTTCAAAGTGTGATGGATCTGCAGTGCTTTCCAGAAAGCCGACCCAAAGTTAAACGGTAATGAGACATCTGCAGGGAGCTGTTCAAATCCATAACTTGCAAGACTGATCTTTCTTTCCTCTTTTATTGCAGAATAAGGTGATGAGCATTGATGGTGTGAGAGTTAAACTACAGGTGAGCATGCAACTTTTTTAATGATATTTTAAAGGAATAGTCCACCCCAAAATGAAAATTTCCAGAGAATGTACTCACCTTCAGGCCCTCCAAGAGTTTGTTTCTTCATCAGTTTTGTAGAAATGCAGCATTGCATCAGTGTCTCAGCAATGGATGCTCTGCAGTGAATGGGTGCCATCAGAATGAGAGTCCAAACAGCTGATAAAAACATCACAATAATCCACAGCACTCCAGTCCATCAGATAACATCTGGAGAAGACAAAAGCTGAAACTAATCCAGCGTTAAGACGTTTTTAACTCAAATACATTGAGTCCATAATCCATAATAACTCTTCCTCCAGTGAAAAAGTGCATCTCATGTTGTCTCTCACATCAAAATCCAGCCACATATTTGTTTAAATGCTGCTTGATCTGTGCAGATTTCTCTCCTGATTCACACCAGAAAACTGACTCACTGGAGGAAGCGTTATTATGGATCATGGACTCGTATGTTAGTTGAAAACGTCTTAATGCTGGATTTATTTCAGCTTTTGTCTTCTCCAGATGTTAAGTGATGGACTGGAGTGCTGTGGATTACTTGTGGATTATTGTGATGTTTTTATCAGCTGTTTGGACTCTCATTCTGACGGCACCCATTCACTGCAGAGCATCCATTGCTGAGACACTGATGCAATTTCTACAAATCTGATGAAGAAACAAAATCATCTACATGTTGGATGGTTTGAGGATATACTAATTTTCAGCAAACTTTCATTTTTGAGTGAGCTATTACTTTAAGACACCAGTTGGCTTTACCATTACTAAACCAGCATAGACCAGAACAGACCTTCTTGCTGGTCTTTTCTACAGATTAAAATGTAACATCTCATACAAACACGTACCATTTTTTATTTTTTGTTAAGTGAATATTACGAGTTAAATCTGTTACTAATGCGCATATTTTCAATATAAGCTTTTAGGTTGGATACCATCTGTTGCCATTTATATTATCTCAATAAACCCTGGAGTAATTAGGTGATTTAATTACCTAATTTCAAAGCAACTCCAATTATCTGTGCTGTTTTAAATACTAAGGTGATGCATTTGGATGTTCCCATGTTGCTTCGCTCCCTCTGGCTAATATTGACTAAGTAAACAATGAATGCGCATCTCGAGGATCAGCTCTAATGAGAGTTTAACGAGGCTGTCATTAATCCTTAAAGCTTCATTAGCCGCATGCCTCGCACTAGTGAACGGATACACACAGACTCGACTGCGTGTTTGATTCAACCAGACAGACAGCTTCATAACCTGCTCTGCTGCACATACTGTATAATCAGAGAATAGCGTTACAGTAGATGGTTTTTAAGGTCGTTAGTGTAATTATTGTGGACCGTTGAACAGGGTGAGCGGTTGATAGGTGAATTAATGTTGATAGGGATCATTAAAGAACGCTGTGTCAGGTCAAATGTGCAAACATCTCAAAGCAAAACTAATCCTCCCACATGCTTAGGTTGTGAATCCGTGTTTTCACACATCAAGGTTGGGCCTCATTACTGGGGCTGTTCACGAACCTCATTTTTAAAGCGATAGTTCACCCAAAAATACTTCTTCTTTATATGAATTATTTGCTATATGTAAAAAAAAGGTTCTGTTTGAATCAGATGTATAACAGTTTGTGCCTTTTCTTAGGTGACTCTGTTTTAGAAATCCCTTTTATTGCATGCATCCTGCTTGAGTTTGAGACACAGAAGCATGTTTATATTTCTTAAAATGTTTAAAACATTAACTTTGGCAAATGTGTAATACAGTATCTTAGTTTAATGCTATCTTGACAAGTTTGGATTTCTGAGACACAGAAAAGTAGACACTGCCGCCATCCAATTTAAAAATGAAATCACTCATTTTTATTCATAAGTTCACACTTACCATTGTGTTGTTCTTATTTATTTTTTTAAAATGTAAAAATATTAACATTTACATTTATGCATTTGGCAGACACTTTTATCCAAAGCGACTTGCATTGCATTCAAGATATACATTTCTTCAGTTATTGAATTCCCTGCGAATGAAACCTGTAACCTCTGGGTTGCTGGCACTGTACTCTTAAAAATAGGTTCCCCAAAGAACCTTTCATGAGCAGCTGTTAAAAGAACCTTTTTTAGTAAAAAGAACATTTTGTGCAATGGAAAGTTTCAGTGGATGTTAAAGGTTCTTCATTGAACCATCAATGCCAGGTAAAGAACCTTTATTTTTAAGAGTGCATTTGAAAGCTACATGAATGCACATTAAAGGGATAGTTCAGCCAAACAATTTGCTAAAATTGCTTTGTTTCTTCATCAGGTTTGTAGAAATGTAGCATTGCATCAGTGTCTCAGCAATGGATGCTCTGCAAGTGAATGGGTGCCGTCAGAATGAGAGTCCAAACAGCTGATAAAACATCACAGTAATCCACAGCACTCCAGTCCAGCAGTTAACATCTGGAGAAGACAAAAGCATTAATCAAATCCAGTATTAAGACGTTTTTAACTCAAATACGAGTCCATAATCCATAATAACGCTTCCTCCAGTGAAAAAGTGCATCTGCTGTTGTTCAAATCCAGTATTAAGACGTTTTTAACTCAAATACGTTGAGTCCATAATCCATAATAACTCTTCCTCCAGTGAAAAAGTGCATCTGCTGTTGTCTCTCACATCAGAATCCAGCCACATATTAGTTTAGAGCTGTTTAAACGCTGCTTGATCTGTGCAGATTTCTCTCCTGATTCACACCAGAACACTTTTTTCACTGGAGGAAGCGTTATTATGGATTACAAACTCGTATTTTAACTGGAAGCGATGTTTTCAAGTTAAAAGCATCTTAATGCTGGATGTGTTTCAGCTTTTGTCTTCTCCAGATGTTAAATGATGGACTGGAGTGGTGTGGATTACTTGTGGATTATTGTGATGTTTTTATCAGCTGTTTGGACTCTCATTCTGACGGCACCCATTCACTGCAGAGGATCTATTGCTGAGACACTGATGCAATGCTACATTTCTCCAAACCTGATGAAGAAACAAACTCATCCTGATCTTGGATGGCCTGAGGGTGAGTCAATTTCCAGCAAATATTCATTTTTGGATGATCCATTCCTAATATCCATAAGTAATATACTGTATATGCATATTGAAAATAACAGAATAACTTATTAATACATAAAGTGTCTAGAACTATTGCATGCCTTCATATTACTTGGAGCCATTTATGATGCTTTTTAGTGCTTATTTGTGTGTGTGTGTGTGTGTGTGTGTGCGCGCGCAGTATCTCCCAGTCTTTGTTAATGTCAGGCTGCTCTGCTCATCAGCATTCATGTCTGCTCGCTCGGTTTCATCAGTGTGAAACATGACCCTGGCCGACAGATCTGTGTGTGTGTGTGTGTGTGTGAGACAGGTGCTCTTATCAGGACGTGGATGGTGTAATAGTCTCGACCTCACCCATAAATCCACATTCTTGTCCTCTACTGCACGCCATTACCACATCAGCTAATTAAAGCTTTTGCTCCTCTGCTCCTCTTCAATTGCTGTTATGGTGAAGAGTGAAAGCTGATATGATAGTATGAATGTGATGAATGCATGAATGAAGCAGGTGACGTTTGTGTCTCCTCTTGCTCTGTAGATCTGGGACACGGCGGGACAGGAGAGATTCAGGAGTGTGACGCACGCCTACTACCGAGACGCTCACGGTGAGTTGCATTGTATTGCACGAAGACTGCACAAATCATTTTCTTTATCAAAAAAGTTACATGGAGCAAAAAAGTGAGATGGAAGGAAACAAAGAGGAAAAAACAAGAAAAATGTATTGCCTTGCAAATGAAAACTCAAGTTACTTGTAATGTCTTCGTTATATTTTTAATGGAAAACAAGACAAAAAACAGATTAAGAAAGTTTTTTTTTTTGTGGTGTTAAAATTGCAGACACATTCTGTGCAGGAATTACAACGCTATAATTGGTCTCTGATATTAAAAATGGGTTGCCAGTGTTTTTGATGCTTTTATTAATAGAGTTCTAAAAATGGCACAGCTAAGCCGTTTGTCACGGTTTCGCTCTGTTTATCCTTCAGTTTCTCTCTCTCTTCTAGACTTAAATGCACATTGTAGTATATATATGACCCTGGAGCACAAACCAAGTCATAAGTGTCAATTTTATGAAATGGAGATTTATATATCATCTGAAAGCTGAATAAATAATCTTTCCATTGATGTATGGTTTGTTATGATCGGACAATATTTGGCTGAGATACAACTATTTGAAAATCTGGAATCTGAGGGTGCAAAAAAAATCAAGATATTGAGAAAATCATCTTTAAAGTTGTCCAAATTAAGTTCTTAGCAATGCATATTACTAATCAAAAATTAAGTTTTGATATATTTACGGTAGGACATTTACTAAATATCTTCGTGGAACATGATCTTTACTTAATATCCTAATGATTTTTGGCATAAAAGAGAAATGTATAATTGTGACCCATACAATGTATTGTTGGCTATTGCTACAAATATCCCCCAGCGACTTAACACTGCTTTTGTGCTGCAGGGACACATATCAGATTTCTGTAAATTTACCTGACCCAACACAACAGATTATTGTCCAATTAAAATTAAAATGCTACTACAAATGTATTAATGTTACCATGAACTGCGCAGGCCCGACATAACCTGACATGTTAATAACTGAATAGGAATGAATAAGAATATAGAAATTTTGTAAATGCATAAACAACCGCAGAAGGTTGATTTACTCACGAACCAATTTTAGATGTAGTTTGACAAATTTTCTTTTATCTTGTGTTGGTTTTGACATGTTAATAATTGAATATGAATAAGAAAATATGTATAAACAATAGCAAAACTGTGATTTACCTGTGAAAACCATTAAAATATTATTATTTTGCAGTGATCCCATGTGTTGTAGTTTTGAACTGAATAGCAATAAAAGAGCTGCAGAAGTGTAATTAACCCGTGAACCCTTTTAGATGTAGTGTGCGTCATATGTTCTTTTATGTTGTGTAGATTTGTTTGTGAGGGTGAGGCATGTCACGCGTCTGTCTTATATAGCTGCTTCTAGATTGCAGATGAAATACTGATTGTACCATTCAATGTTAACAACAAAAGAAATGGGAAGCGTTTATTTTAATACCTATTTATTTACACATGATTATATGGTTAGCAGCATTTCATCAATTGCATTCAGCATTGTTTTTCTGCTGTCAGAACAGACCTCGCAACCCACCAGTTGAGATTCACTCATACATGACTACCAAATTTCTCTCACATTCCCCATGTCATAAACATGATCTCCTGCCAAAACAATATCGGCGTAGTCCAAAGGAAAAAACAGTGCTTTATTTTAAGGTTTTTCTCACTCATAAAAAAATATTGCATTTATATTCTGGGTTCATTAACTTGCATGCAGATGGATAGTAGGATTTTGCATAAAGTTCACAGGTTTATTCATTATAGTTGTTTATATGGCAGAGAATTTGGCTGTTAAAGTTTTGTTTTGTTGTTTCGGCTTTAGATAATCTTTATGACATGAAAAATGTGAGAGAGACTGTCGTTGAGTCATTGTTTCAGAACATTAAACCATGTTGTGTTTTAGGATGTTACTTTTCTTACAACTTTATTCTCATAATTTAAAACTTGTATAAAACTTGTGCAGATTCTGTATAAGACTAGAAACACACCGAACTAAGACAACGTGTTTGGCACATGGTTATTATAGTTAACTAAAACTAAAACTAGAAATAAAACCATAAAACAAAATAAATGTTATCTGAATTTTTTTTTTTTTTATAAAAAAAAAATTTGTTTAATAAAAACTAATGTTTTAAATATAACATTTTGAATACTGAAATATGAAATTATTAAAATAAAATAAATGATAAACTTATGAAAATCTAAAACTTATTTAGTCACTGATTGATTTATTCAACTGATTCATTCAAAACAGTGTTATTTTGGTTACTATTATATAAATATATTTAAATATATATTATATAATTACTGCATATAATATATTATATAGCATTGTATTTATAATATACTGTATATAATACTATATATAATTATACTATATATAAATATATATTTTTAATATTTTTTGTTATTTTAGTATATCAAGTTAAACTAAATGAAAATGTGAAATGTTGAAATAAAATAAATTGTTTTTATATTTTGTTTAATTTCAGTTAACATTCAACATAACACTAACACACTCACACACACACGCACGCACACACAAACACACACATACATAAAACTTTAACTAAAATTAAAATAAAAACAACCTATAAAACTGACAAACTGATTCTAAATATAATAGTATCTCAATGATACTACAATAACACGTTATTTTAGTCTGCCATGAATACCTCTGAACTCTGGAGCATATCTAATATATTGTCCCAAACATATATCTTAGGAGAGATGCACTACTGGATTTCATTATGTAAGCTGGCTTTTGTGCTTCGTTTCAGCCAGAAAGAGCCACTTAGAGCTGCAGTGAAATGCAATTGGTTTGAACTACTGAACATCTAAAACTAAACCAAATGACAGATCGTAATAACAAAATGCATGTTCTTGTAGGCAGAGTAGCTGTTTTGCGTTCCCGCAGTAGCTGTTGGGTTTCAAGACTGTTTTTGTGCATTGTTAGTTTTTCAGTTTTTTAAAGCAGTACTAAATCAAAAGCGCTTTCTGAGAGCATGCGAGACCAGCCCACGCTCTTACACTCAAACATGACTGATCGGATCATAAAGAGCAGCTATTATGACCCTTTTAAATGAGGTTCTGATGCACGTACACCACTCAACAACCTTTCACCGTGCCTTCAGCGCTTTCCAGCAGAACACACGCGGCGCTCGAGTGATTGGCGTTTAAACTGATGCATAGTGATGCGATAATGCATGCTTTTTGCGGCTGAACATTTTCCCCTTATGAACTTGTCACATGCAAATGTGTGCATGCAGATCCTCTAATCACATCCCAGAGAGTCACCTTAGACGTTAGGCTGGTGCCGCTCATACTGTCCTGCGTGTGTGGAGCTTTATTAGGGTTCGTGTGAGGCTAAGCAGATCTACTGTACTCCTGACGCCCACAGACTGCCTCTCCCATCTGTGCCGTGCCTGTGTGCCATCAGCTCACCGAGAGACATGGCACTGCACCACGAAATGCTGCTCTAGATCACATGAAATCACACGCTCAGAACTGAACTGGAGATGCATGTGTTTGAATGTAGCCCAGATAATTCATATTTCATCCAGGAACGCTTGTATGTGTTTTTAGTATCAAAAAAGTTGTTTAGTATTACCATGTTCTTCGGAAATGCAATTGTTGTATTATAAAGGTTGTTTGAGCATGTACTATTGTATTCTTTGAAAGTAGCACGGCATATGAATATTATGAGATTAATGTTTTAAATATAACATTTTGAATATTGAAATACTGTATGAAATAATTTACAAAGATTTAATGATACACTTTAAATATGAAACTAAAACTCGTTAATTCATTCAACAGTTTTGTGCTACTTTAGTAGTTTGTATTAATATTTTAAGTTCTTATTTTTATATTTTACATTTTAATTTTATTTAAAATTGTAGCAATTTTGTTGTGTCTTTTTGTCAGTTTTAATGAATTCATTTTCTTTTTTATGTCTATATGATTTTTATTCATTTTTATTGCAGTTTTAGTTATTTTAGTAAATCAAGGTTAAACTAAATGAAAATGAGAAATGTTGTCTTGGCAACTTTTAATTTAATTTTTAATTTAATTTTTAATTTAATTTTTTATTTAATTTTTAATTTTATTTTATTTTATTTTATTTTATTTTATTTTATTTTATTTTATTTTATTTTTTATATATTTTATATTTTATATTATATTATATTATATCATTTTTATTTTATTTTAATTGCTTCTAGTAACAAAAAAGACTTTATGAATGGATAATTGAATCATTGACTCACCATTTTATATTTTATATTATATTATATTATATCATTTTTATTTTATTTTAATTGCTTCTAGTAACAAAAAAGACTTTATGAATGGATAATTGAATCATTGACTCACCTGATTTGTTCAAAAATGCTGACTGCTTTCAGTAATGAAACGCCGCTGTGTTTTGTTCAGAGAAACAAAGCTACGGCTCTGTTTTTGCTTTGTTTACAATTACTGTTGGTGAAATAGAGTAAAAACAGACAATATTGACAGTAATGCGTCTAAAATGCAAGCCACTGAAAATAAATGTCTTGTTCATGGAACTGTTGTATAAAATCAATATCATATTTACAATTGTGCTGATATTCTGGAAAAAAACAGCACTTGTGTGATATGTTATGAATATTAAAAACAGGAACTCCTATCTTGAATTTTGGGGGCATTTTTATTCATTTTGGTGGCATTTTTGCCACCATATAAAATAAATATATAAAACATGATATACAATATTTTTTTTAATTAGTTTGAAAATGTTTTTAAAATTCATCACAAATATTCACTTAATATTCACTTAATATTTATTTATATTATTATTTTCTCTCTCTATATATAATGATAACTTAATAAAATTCACATCAAAATAACATTAAATGAGATTTGGCTGGGTGGAACTAAAAATAGGCTTCATTTTCCTGATTTAAAAAGTAATTTATTTTGATTTTAGGGTAAAATGTGACCTGAACATG